AGTAGTATAATTCTCAGTATAAATAGTATAATTTCCAGTATAAGTAGTATAATTTGCAGTATAACTAATAAAATTTTCAGTATAAGTAGTATAATCCTCAATTAGTATAATTTTCAGTATAAGTAGTATAATTCTCACTATAATTAGTATAATTATCAGTATAAGTATCATAATATCCAGTATAAGTATTATAATTCTCACTATAATTAGTATAATTTTCAGTGTAAGTAGTATAATTTTCAGTATAAGTGGTATAATTGTCACTATAAGTAGTATTATTCTCACTATAGTATAATTCTCACAATAAATAGTATAATTTTCAATATAAGGAGTACAATTTGCCGTATAAATAGTACAATTTGCAGTATAAGTAGTATAATTTATAGTATTAGTAGTATAATTCTCACTATAAGTAGTACAATTTGCAGTATAAGTAGTATAATTCTCAGTATAAGTAGTATAATTCTCAGTATAAGTAGTATAATTCTCAGTATAAGTAGTATAATTTCCAGTATACATCATATAATTCTCACCAGAAGTATAATTTCAGTATAAGTAGTATAATTTGCAGTATAACTAATAAAATTTTCAGTATAAGTAGTATAATTCTCAATTAGTATAATTTTCAGTATAAGTAGTATAATTCTCACTATAACGAGTATAATTTTCAGTGTAAGTAGTATAATTCTCACTATAAGTAGTATAAATCAGACGATAAGTAGTATAATTTTCACTATAAGTACTATAATTCTCAGTATAAGTAGGATAATTCTCACTATCATTAGTATAATTTTCAGGACAAGTAGTATAACTCTCATGATAAATAGTATAATTTTCACTGTAAGTAGTATAGATCTCAGTATAAGTAGTGTAATTTGCCATATAATTTTCAGTATAAGTAGTATAATTTGCAGTATAAATAATATAATTCTCACTATAAGTAGTATAATTTTCATTATGAGTAGTATAATTTGCAGTATAAGTAGTATAAATCTCACTATAAGTAGTATAATTTTGAGTATAAGTAGTAGAATCTGTAGTATAATTCTCAGTATAAGTAGTATAATTTTCGTTATAAGTAGTATAATTCTCACTATAAGTAGTAGAATTTGTAGTATAATTTTCAATATAAATAGTACAATTTGCAGTATAATTAGTATAATCTTACTTATTATAAAATGCAGATTGTGTGTGTGTGTGTGTGTCTGTAACGTTTATATATTGGATCGGATTTCCTACATTTTTTAGCCGGACTACATAAAATTACCTTGTGATGGTTCTAACGGCGCCGAAAATGGGAAAAACACAAGTGTTTTTTAACAAAATCAATTTGAAAACACGATTAAGATACATCGTGAGAATGAAAGGGGGACAACTCACATCGGGTTAAAAAAACCCAGGTTGTTTGTGTGTTCCTTTATATATGGGATCGGATTTCTTACATTTTTCAGACGATAAAACAAACATCCACTTTTTTTTTTGGCAGGTAGTGTTTCTTATTGTCTTGCACACTTTTTTCTTTATTTATACATTCAGAAAGCTTTAAAAATTCCATTTACAAGACAATTGTTTATAATAAAATTCTAATTCTATTCAATCAGGGGACTCAGCATAACGATTGAAAACAATGTTTTTGTTTGAGTTTGGGTTTGACCAATTCGTAAAAAAAAACAAAAAACTAAGACATGCGTGTCCGTCAACCTAAACAATAATCTAACGATCTCTACTGATTGTACGAATCAAAATAACGATCTCTACTGATTGTACGAATCAAAAAATCGGATAATTCTTTATCTTTAGGGAAAAGTAATTCCCCGTACTTTAGGGCTGTTTTTACAATTCCCTTTGCAATTTGTTACAAGGCAGATCAATAAGGCATTGGTTCTATTTGAAATTAATTCAATATTTAAAAGAAAGTATCAAGTATTAGTAAGAAATCTGATAGACAAAAAACAACAATATTTCGAAGATGATAATTATTAAGGAAAGAACACAGTACTTGTAATAAATTAATAAACCCAAATAAAGTTAATATTTTTTGTATTAGAAACAACGAGTGGAAAATATATTCAAATCAGAATTCTAATTATGAATCACCACAAGCAAAATATGCAATTTTTTTTACTGTATTCAATAAGTAAAAATCATAAATTGTAAAAGATTACAGAGAAAGGCTACCTACATTTTTCAACCGACTTCAACAAAACTTCACTTTTTTTTGGCACGTAGTGTTTCTTATTGTCTTGCACATTTTTTTCTTTGTTTACATTCAGAATGCTTTAAAAATTCCATTTACAAGACAATTGTTTATAATAAAATTCTATTCATCAATCGATAGACTCATAATGATTGTAAACAATGTCTTTGTTTGAGTTTGGGTTTGACCAATTCGTAAAAAAAACAAAACAAAAAAAAACTAATTAAGACATGTGTGTACGTCAACCTTAAACAATAATCTTTGTCAATTTTATTTTTCAGTCTTTTTATGATGGTCGATACTTGATCTATCTCTTACTGTTACATCCCCGGGCAACGCCGGGCTCTACTGCTAGTTCTCACTATAAGGATTATAATTATCACTAGAAGTAGTATAATTTTCAGTATAAGTAGTATAATTCTCAATATACGTAGTATAATTCTCACTATAAGTAGTATAATTCGTGGTATAAGTAGTATAATTTTCAGTATAAGTATAATTCTCACTATAAATAGTATAATTTTCAGTGTAAGTCATAATTCTCACTGTAAGTAGTATAATTTTCACTATAAGCAGTCAAATACTTATTATACATTAGCATTAGGCAGTCATTTATCAAACATATATTAAAAGTTGAATTAACAATGGCAAAAAAATATATTAAGTAAAAATGTCAAAATCTTAGTAAATGTGTACTCACAAGAATTATTTGGTTGTTGAGAAATCTCTACAGGAATGTTCATGGAAAAAATGTTTTCCCTTTTTTTCCTGGTAAGGAGGGTGTGCAGTCAGTATAATGGCTACTGGCTTGAAACAATTGGCAAGCCGATTTTGAATTCTGATTAAGTTTGTTACAGGCACTTTTGCACAAATACCCTTGAGAAAGTTACAAGTCCATTTTTTCTACCCATAACTGACTAGCAGGGAAGAGTTGTCTTTCTACTTGGTAAGCAGTCTTGGAGAAGGACAACTTTGAATTCAAAACCATATGCCATGCTGGCAAAGTACATGCTGTACAAAGGATTATCAAGTTCATTGTGATCCCACCTGTGGTTGATGAGGTGTTTGGATCAAATTGAAAGTGAATACATTAGTATTTAGTGACATTTCCCTGTTAAATGTAGAATGCTTTTAGGTATATGCGTACTGTGCAGGTCTCTTCTGGAATGTTGTTCCCATCAAAATTTTATCTACCCTTATCAAAAACACAGCCAAATAATTATTCTGTTTCAACTCTGAAATTTGTAATGATTAAAAATAATAAACTTGATTATTTTCTGCCTTAAATTACTTTATTTACCTTTTTCCTTTTTAGTAAGAAAAAGAAATATTTGCAATAAAAATTTAAATTTTTCTACACTACTTAAATGGAGTTGTTTTTTTTTTTTTTTTTTTTAATAAAATAACTTCAATGAACCAATGATTAAGGGTACAAGTTAAGCCTTCATTTGCAGACACGGAGAAGAAGCTGAAGAAGTGAGACAAAGATCCAGCTTGCCGATATAGTCAATCAATCAAAGATTAAGGAATGCAGTTTTACACTATGAAATCTATGCAGGACCAAGCAGCTTTCAGTCATCTGAATCTTCATTGGAATTATAAAAGATGCCTTCCAAGACCTAATCAAGGTATTAATAGACAAAACCAATCTCATTAGAAAAAAGAAAAGACAGCTGAACGGCAATGTAACATCAATCCTCCTATATGGCAATAAATGTTGAACAGTTTAAAGAAACTTGGTTCTACAGAAGGATGCTGAGAATGCCATGGACACAATGTGTGAGCAATGAGGAAATTTTGAGAAAAATGGAAACCAAAAGGACACTTTTACTTAGAATCAGAAAGAGATAGTTGAAATTTTGGGAATGCATCATGAGGAAAGAAGGCTTAAAGAATTTGATATGAACAAGGCATTGATGATGAGAGGAGCAAAGGGATGGCAAAACAAAGGATGGGAAGGACAATAAAAGAATGGACATTGTTAAAAAGGATAGGAAGTTATGGAGAACCCATGATTATCCGCATCCTGAAAGAACATTAACAAAAATAAACTCAGAAATGTTTAATTTTCTAATCTAAATAAATAGATAAAATCAGTTTTCATTTAAACTGAACTCACTAATGGCCATCAACTACAGCAGTGTTTCCAATGTTTTTTGTTTTTTTTTACTTCAGGGTGCTCTTTAAATTTTAATAAGGAAAAATTAGCCCTTAAATTTGAAAATATGAAATTTTGGTTTAGCATTCCCAAAGATTAGTGACAGTTTTCATTTAAAGGGATTTATAAAGAAGCTGCTATATATTTTCTTTGAAGAGGCCAATAATGACTGATTTAAATCCCTTCAAGAAGGCAAAAGATTATCCACTCCTCATTAAAGATTAAGGAATATAGTATCCACTTTAAAATATCAAATGCCAAAGACTTGACTTAGAAGCCATGTTCATGGCAGGTTTTAGATGTGAAGGTCAGAACTAATGGAACTAAAGAATTCTGGTAAAGTTCCTATAAACTGAGTGTCTCAGTCATAGTTTGGGTTAAAATATTTTATTTGCTCTCTTTTTACCTGGACAAAAAAAATCCTCAAATATATAAAATATGATAACAAAACTTCAAGAGTGGATTCAAAGTAACAAGCACAATATCTTGGATCAGCTATAAATAGCACCCTTTATCATATACAGAAATTTTAATTGATCAGTTGTACATGATGCCATCCCCAAGTTTATAGACCACCCAAGTTAGTACAAAGCACAATTTCTCAGATCCATGGAAGTCAGATGCAACACTACTGATTGAGAGGTTTATGGCCATATCACACTGAAATACCGGTTCCTGTATAATCACTGAAGTTAAGCAACATTGAGCCTGGTCAGTACCTAGATGGGTGGCCACTTAAGAATGCTGGATGTGAGTGTATAATGGATAATGTCTTGGAATTGTTAATTGGAGAACCAAGTTCCAAATCCTGTTGGGTTTATTATATTTATGTGCAAATACATTTGGGAAAGGTATGAATCTACTTCTTCTCCCCCAGCTATAGGTTAATTAGTAAGACGTGCATCACTAGAACCATTATCTCAAAAAAAAAAAAAAATTCTTACAATCTGAAAATATTTTCTGGTTTTAAATAACCTGCAAAAGGTTGGTAAGCCATAAAAAATGAATCAAACAAATTGATTGATTATTGTCATTAAAACAGACGTATTTCATAGAAGTTAGATGAAAATTAAAAAAAGAAAAAAAAAGATATAAGATCTTAGTGGTCAGGAAAGCATCCTCTTGGGAGTGTTACACAAAATAACCATTCTGGGGCTGAAGTAGTTCAAGTGGAACATATTCCTTGTAACAAGGTAGTGATACTGATGGAGTCATAATAATGCATGAAATATGATTTAGTGACTTGAAGTATTGAGAAAGAGTTAAGAATTCAAAGTGAAGGAATAAAGATACTAACCAAAGGTGCTTTTGAGCAGGTCATCTCTACATGCCTTACTTCTTGCCTATCTCACTGCAAATTTTTTCTAAACTCTATACTAAACATTAAATCTGTTACAAAAAAAGAACTAAACAAAATGAACACAAAACGTTCAGCTTTAAGAAAGGACTCGTAACTGGAAAAACTGAATGAAAAAAGAATGTTAACAACAAATAATTTTCACATCCAACCCAGTTCTGCGGAATCAGAATCAACGTTGAGTTTAAGCAAGCGAATGAGCCAATTGGAGGAAAGTGCCATGCAGATTCAAATTTTTCCCACTTGTGACAAATGCAGCTATCGATTTTTTTTGCATGCTAGTTAACATTCATGTCAGTCAGCTGTTGGCTCTCACGCTGGCCAATAGAATCTTCCTGCCTATTCGTGGCAGCCAGCTATTGGCTCTCACTCTGGCCAGTACAAAATGGCTGCAAACTACATGAAAACTGCCGTAGAAGCATGAAAAAAATCGATTATTTCCACTATCGATGGGAGTTGGGAAATGCAAAGTCAGTCTTGGCCTTCCCGCTAACTTGGAGCATGTGCATGTAAATTTTGGTGCAAATCCATCAAAAATTGTGGCCATGCATTCGTTACACACACATCCTGCCTTTTATAGATAGAGATTCAACGAAGAGTGATTGTAACCTTTGACAGCCTATGGTATTAAATTGTTAGCAATTTTTAAATGTGGTGATTATTCTTTCTACCTATAATCTTATTGCCTTTTGAGAAATTCTCCAGCCAAGAAAACTGCGACATGCACAGAAGAATTCTTCACCGATCCCATCTTGACAGGTATACAACATCAACTAGATGACTGTATCTAGAGGCCAGCAATGGGTGAAAATACTGAACAGACAAAAACACCCATGCTTGCAACATGTAATATCTCACTTGGTGCCAATGATTATAAGAAGTGATATTTGGCATTTTGGCTGATCATTCATTATCAAAGGAACACAAAGGAAATGGAAATGATTTGCCACCATGAACATTGTATGGCAGGTGGTGTGAACTAGTGGAACTATGGAATGAAGTTCATTTGAACATTTGTCATAGTAATAGAGTAGTGAAAGGTTAGTGATTTTTTTGTCTGTGGTATAAAGGTTGAAAAGTGGAAAATAGTTAATTATCCACAAGGCTGTTTAACTGCTTTGAACTGTGTCTTGGCTGGACATTAAGGATTGAGCAACATCATTCGAGATATAGCAGCATTACTCCATTCTTGATCTGACGTGAATCTTGTAAAGATAGAGAATGGCAGCAGGAGTTAGGAATTTTCTGGAGTGATACAAGGGACTGATCATTCTTCTAGCATCATTTGTGATGATGTGAATATACATAATTTCGACACGTGAAATGCACAAGAAAACTCCATGGCATTTTCTATTGGGAACAAAAAAAAACAATGAGTTTGTGTGGAAAAGGGTTGAAAGTTTTATGAGACACCAGAAACCTCTTCACGTCACTGTCAAACAGAGAAAAATGGTGTGGTTTGGACACATTACAAGACATAATAGCCTATGCAAGGCATCATTGAAGATGGACGTAGGAGAGGACGCCAATGCAAAAACTGGGTGGACAGTGTCAAACAATGGACGGGTATGACTGTACCAGACCTGCTGATGGCTGCCATTAATAGACAGTTGTGGAAAAGAGTTGGTGTGGCTTCTGCATTTTGATCTGCCCTACAATTACAAAAGTCAAGGGGATGATGATGAATATACATGTTCCATGTGAGATTGAGGGTGAGCTTTTGAGCAAATAGATGTTCGAGGCAAGGAACCTCATCGAGTGTATGATGGCTCATCAGGACAGGCAAAATTTAGAGTGCTCAGTGGTGATGAAACATTACTAACTTTATTTTGGAGGTATTGAATGATACCAACCAGTCTTTCTCCTATTGAGCTGTGAGGGCTAGGACAGAGGAGAGGTCAGTTGCCAAGCAATCAGACATTTGGTGGTGCACCCCTTAAAGTGTAGTATCATCTGCATATATATATATATATATATATATATATATATATATATATATATATATTTATTAAAGAACTGAGAATGTTCTTCAGCAGATTATTAATATAAAGTAGAAAAAGAGTAGAGCTGCAAAGAGAGACTTGAGAGATGCCTGCAGGGATCTAGTCTGCTTCAGAACAGGCTATTAACCATGACTGCCATAGATAGGAAAGACTTGTTAACTAAGCTGATTCTTCCAGAGATTGCATAGCTGGAGAGTTTCTATAGTAAACTCTACATCTTGCAAAAGGCCTTTGAGATATCTAAGCACTCTTGAGACGTGTTTATTATCAAGCTTTTCACAGACTGATGATAGTTAAGACATCAGCAGTGAACCTAGAGGTGTGAAAACCATACTGTTTGTCACTCAGGAGGTTGTTTCTGTTGAGGTGATCAACAAATTTCTTGTTGATAATAGCTTCAAAATATTTGCTGGTGATACTGAGAAGGGTGATGTTGGAAATATTATGAGAACTGGGGTTTACCTGCATGCTTGTGAACAGGGCATACACTTTACACCTTCCATGGGCTTAGAAAACATTTCTGATTTTAAAAAAAATTCATTTAATACAGAAGTAAAAATAGAGTTCCATGATGTCTTTCTTCTGAAAATGATAACATTCACCAAGAGAAAATATAAGAAACAAAGCAAAAGGAAAGAAGAAAACACATTGTTTATTCAGTTATTTTATTTACACAAGAGAATCTAATGAACAACAACAGACAAAGTATTTTTATAGGAATTTCCGTCATTGAACGGTTCCTCATCATAGTATTTTCTTTTTCTTCTACTCCCATCATGTCTGGAAGCGAGTCTGTGATGGGAGAAAAGAAGAAACAATGTGTCAGTTTTGGTCACAGTTTATATTTTTATTCTCTTTAAATATTTTTAAATATTATTTCAACAAGGATTTCTCCCACAGGTTTGTTTTAAATAATGTTTACTGACTCTGAAGTTTCTCTTTCAAACCATTTTTGGCAGGTTTTGGCCAAAATTGAAAAAAAAAAAAAAAAAAAAAAAAAAAAAAAAAAAAGTAAAGGCAAGGAGGAAGGAACCAGTTGCTAAGAGTAGAGTATGTTTGAGGACATTTGAGAAAACTGAATTGTAAATTTAAACAGAATGAGAAAATGGGTGTCCATCTCACAAGAGCTGAAGGGAAGAAGAAAAATATTTGAACAGATATATATATATATATATATATATATATATATATATATATAATGCACGCACGCATGCACACACACACACACAAAATGAGAGTCACCATCATTATCATCTACAAGTAATAAAGTTAAGATTAAAAATACCACCATCTGTTACTAATTTTTTTTAATTTTCTATAAGACAATACAGAAAGTGAGTAAAGAGAAATTTTTCCCAAGAGGGAAAAAAAAGGGGGAAAAATAATGTTTAGAGATTTGAAAATCTGGTGATAATTTTTCCTTTTAATTTAAGTCCACTTTTCTTCACTTCTAAAATTGGAAGGCAGAAAAAAAGACAGGAAAAAAAAAAAAAAAAAAAAAAAAAAAAAAAGTGAGGGTGGGGGGTTACTATTTACAAACTTTGGAGGGTGGGTTGGTAAGTGGGAAAAATTCCCCAATTTTTTTTTTTCAGCCTTTTTCCAAAATTATTTACAAGAGAATCTCACTTTACAGAAGAAAACAAATTTACTTGTCCAGGTTTCCCATAGCCTCCTACTCTTTGCAATGATTCCCAACCTCAAAACCAGAGACAGACCCATAGATCAAAAGTTGCATACATGTAGAATATGTTTTAATATTTTTAAAACTTCATCTTCAGTATTCCATTCATTCAGAACAAGAAGATGGATTAATTTTATTTATTTTTTGAAAAGTCTGAAAGAATTTTTTCTCTTTTTCTCCCTTTTCATTTAAATTTTCATTTCATGCAATTCTTTCAGATTTCAATAAAAATTCATTCATCAAGTTTTAGACCAATGTGTGTGTGTGTGTGTGTTTGTGCATGTGGTGACAATTGGTGTTAGTCTAGATGTGTAGATCAATGTAAATGTACATATGTATGAGGTGAGTATGCATGTATGTAGAGAGGCATAATATCAAAGTTTTTTTTTCTGATTTGTACAAAGTGTAAAATTCCATTGTAAGAAAACAAATAACAATAATAATAATAATAATCATCACTGGTGGCAAAAGTCTGCTACAGAAACTAGAAAATATACAAGCTGATTGAAAAGGTTGAGAATCATTTTAAAATTAATTTATCAGTTCAGGTGATAAACAAATTCATTTTTTTTACCAGGTCTCATATTCTGGACATGCATATATTTAAAACTTAACATCATTATCTTTCAAGATTGTAGAAAACATATAAAAATTGTAGATAAATTTTTGTAAGAACAAAAAATAAAGACAAATCACTTAGCAGCAAGT